ACAAGTGAGAACTTTTGCTATTTTTACATTCTAAAAGCTCAGCAGCTACTAAAGCAAAAATGAGTTGCTTTTACTGATACTTAGAAATTAGTGTGTTTTAAACTAATAGGTTTTCTCTTTCAGGCCTTCAGTGGTTATTACAGAGGTGGATTTGAACCCAAAATGACTAAACGAGAAGCAGCTTTAATACTAGGAGTGAGGTAAAGGAGATTTATCAGAAATGAAAGGTGAACAGTGGGCAGTGGTGTTTCCTCACAGCTGGCTTTGTTTGGAAAGGTTGTCATCCAATGCCCAGCATCCCCTGGGAGTGTCACTGCCAAGTCAGGGAATAGGAAGTTGCTGTTCAGGACTTTCTGTGCTTTTTGGGGATTCTTTGCTGCACTTTAGCATGGTTGAAGCTAATTCTGTGTGGATTTCCAGACATCTGCAGTTCCCTCACACATTCCAACATGGTCTAAATAAGCCATTTCAGGAAGCCTTGGGATTCACTTGGTGTGGGTAACATGATTGTGCTGTTATCTTGTGGTTCCTGTCAGTGCTGAGGAGTTTGGATGCAGTGGGAAGGTGCTGCAAACCTACTTCTTGTATCTGGAATAAATTCATCACCTCTGGAACGCTATAGATCTGACTATGGTGGCAATCCCTGCCAAAGCACTTCAGGCCAAATACACAGATCTATCACAAAAGAACTTTCAACTGTGAAATTTGAGGTTCTCTGTTTTCCTTTCTACCTTAATAAATCAAGCAATATTTTTTGTCTTAAAGCCTTTAGGAAGTTTTCCCAATAAAAATGTTACAACGTAGTTCTCTTTTTTCTTACCTGTGTGGCTGACCCCCACCCCATTAGATTCCTATGTCTTCAGCATACATTTTCTAGGGTTTTGGAAAAGCTCTTGAAAGCCTCTCCAGGATTTAGACACTACATATCAGTGGTGAAGAGAAACATAGATGTTAGGTAGAGAATATATGGGTAAGACAAGAGTTGCTCACTTGTTCTGAGACCTTTTGATGATCTGGGGAATTTCATGAGGATCCCTTCAGTCAGTTTTTTTCTTTCTTTCAAAGCCCTACAGCCAACAGAAATAAAATTAGAGAAGCTCATAGACGTATCATGCTTCTGAATCATCCAGATAAAGGTAAGGAAATTAAGTCATGTTGACTAGTTAATACATGTTTTTAACACAGATGAATAGAACTGTGTAGGGAGGGAGTTATACATAACCACCTCTATTAAAAACCCACAGGAAACTGAGTGAAAACAAATCTTAGGGTGCCGTTAATCCATGTGAGTCTAGAGCATATTTTTGTGTGTGAATGTTTTAAAATCAAGCAGACTGATTCAGCAGGTCAGTTTGTTAGCTGCTCTATCTTCTGTGAATACCAGGTTAGAATATAATTTGTTAAAGTGAGACTTAAAAATCACCTTAATTTTAGATGAAAACCTGAAGAACCCTTGTGTGTTTTATATACCACTTGTAAGTTTGAGTTCCTCTGAATGCCTCAGGAGTTCACCATAAATGGCAAAAAGAGCCTTTGACAGCTGCTGGAGACATTAAATTATGAAATATTCCTGTTAGTGGTACTCTGAAGGCTCAGACTCTAGTTATGCTTAAAGTTAGTAACTCAGGGCATCTAAACCTATTCTAAATTCTGTTCAGTGAGTCAGAATCATGTGTTGGTGTTTGACATTTAACTTCTTAATCATTGCTTAAAAGGTAAAATGGCTTCCTTTAAAGTGACTGTTGACTTCCTTACTTCTATGTACCAAAATCCAAAATAATCCATGGGAATATGCCTTTCGTAGGTAATATTGAATGAAAGTTACTTTCAAAATTAACCTTACTGAATAGATGCAGAAGCTAAAAATAGCATTTTGTGTTGTACATGACCTAAATATGTAAAATTAATCTTCAAGTAAAACATAATGCAATTAATGGTATATATGCTACCAACACAGTCATTGCACCTCATGGCTTTGCAGTGTTGGTGCATTTCACTGTGGGGTTTGTCTCAGTCTCCATAAGTAATTTTTTGCCATGTGTAAAAACTGAGCTGGTCCCTTGGTACAGCAGCACTTTATGCTGGGCAGGGTTATCTGCAGACCTTTTAGTTTAGTGCTTCTGTATTCACCACAGACTGTGCTAAGTCACTGGTGACTGATTCATTTATTACTGATAAAACTGGAGAAAAAACCACTCCAGTAAAACAAAAGCAGCCTAACAGGAGTAAGTGGTCCGACACCAAGCTCCTGCTGTGACTGTGAGTGAACTCAGGTGCCTACAGTCATATCCAGTTTGTTCTTCAACTGGCAGAACCTCAGACCACACTCTTTTTTTCTGTGTCCTGTGGCATTAACACAAGACAAATGTTGGGTTTTTTTCATCTGATTTGAGGTTCTCTTTCTTCTAGGTGGATCTCCATATGTAGCAGCTAAAATCAATGAAGCTAAGGATCTACTAGAAGATCAAGCTAAAAAATGAATGAGAAAGAAAATCACTCATTCAAAGGGTTTGTTCCTGCAAATGATTATTTTTGATAAATGGCTTAAGCAAAGTTCTAATGTCAGTATTTGACTTAATATAAACGAAGTTGGAAATACAAATCCAGGGAGGTACTTCCCTCCCCACTTGGTCACTTTTTTTTTTGGAAATATGTGAAGGAGTGAAGCTTAAAAGATTTTTTTTTTTCTTATAGCTGTTCTTTATTAAACAGCAACATCTGCTACTCAGAAATATTTTCAGTGCTTGACAGGAGTAGCTTGGTGTGGCCAGTGTGTGTTACCAGGCACAGGTAGACACAAGAGTGCTGTTATCTAATTTCTGTTGAACTGGCCCTGTTTAAAGTTCACATTGCTGCTCTTCCATCTGCAAGAATTAGCACACTGAACCTGTTTGGGAGGGGGTGGGAGAACCAAGAGGACTTATTGACAGGAAGAACTGGCAGACATGTGTGGTTGTCTCTGCCTGGAGAAATAAAGTACAGGAAACAATGTACTCCCTTGTCCTTGCCTTGTGAAAAACAAGGTTGGTTAAGTGTTACTGATGGATCTGGACAGTCCCAGCTTTTTTAGTAGCTTTTAACAGGTTTTAATAGCATTTAATAAATTCCATATTTGTAACGGAAGTCCTGTAGTTTTATACATTATTGTACACTACAAACCCAGAGATCATACAGTGAGCTTTGCATTTATGGTGATTAGGAAACAGGAACTCTTTACATCAGTCACCAATACCTGAGCTGGATTTGTGCTCTGTGGAGCCTCTCACACCCAGCAGCTTGTGAGGATCTCAGCTGGGGCCAGGGAGCTCTGTCATACTCCAAGAATCTTCCCAGTGTTTCTGCCACTGCAGCAAAACACTGCACAGCACCTGTGGGAGTTAATGCCCACCCAGTCATAAACAGTGGGATTGAAAGCTTCCTCACCCAGGACCTGGACTTGGGAAACATTGTCATCCCTGTGAGTGCTGCCTGCTGAGCCACAGCATTGCTGTGGAAGAGCTCTGGGCTGTTCAGGAAGGATTGCAACAGTAGGGTTGAGATAGGTGCCTTTAGGAGAAAGGATCAAATAAGTAACATTACAACCTCCCCAGAAAGGCAGTAATTTTGCTCTGCTACAGCATTTAAAGCAGGGTGAAGGACAGCTGGAACACCACCATGCAGAGTTCTGGACTCAGCACACGCCAAGCTGTATGCAGAATGTTTCTGTACTTAAGTATTTCCCAGCCAAACACTACTGACTTACTAAACACAGGTCTGTTTTTTAAAATTTTCTCTACTGCTGTGCCAGCCCCATCAGCTGAGGTACTTGTGCACGCTTCAGTTACAACCTTTACCTGGGTGTGTTCTCCCAGAGGGAACAATGTTTCTGTGTGTCCAACACTGAAATCCTATAGTGCACGCACAGGTCCCTGCTTGGGACAGCTTGGCTGTAGCTCTGTCAGGTAGAGCAGCTGGTTTAGAACTCTTGATTTTGTCCTGACAAAATCAGGCAAGACAACTTTTTTCATTCAAGTCAGTACAACTTCAATGCCGCCCTTTGCTCTGACTTCTTACACCTTCTTGCTACCCAGATATTTTTCCACACCTGTTTTGTGCTTCCTTGCTCTGGCTCATATATCTGGGAAGGGGGAAGGGTGCCATGCTTTAAGTTACCAAAAACTACATCTGCATTAATTCCTATATATGTTAGTCAGGTTATGCAATTCTCCAAGATAAGGAGTCTGGTTTTTAGACTCGTTAACTGGTGTTTGACATCATCACCTTAATGAAAGGAAGATCAGCCTGTTAAAAACTCTTACAAAAAAGAGTTTGAGGTTCAAGCTGCCTCACAAGTAGGTTTTAATTTTTAGCAAACAGCTTGAAAACCTTAAAGTCAATAGTAATTTAAATTTCTGATAGAAACAGTCAACAGATGGAAGATCAAAGTTTATTTTCTTTTACTACCAGCATACAAAAAAAACATATTGCACATCAAACAACCAAAACAAAAATAAAAATACTCTACTAAGGACTAACATATGTAGTTTATACAGAATAAACTTTCTGGAAATTGATCTTTTCAGTAGTTCAGGTTATGTCTTAATGGACATGACTAACTCAGCTTAGTGTTAACTAAAGCTATGTTTGATTTTTAAATACTGTACAGTTTAATAAATAAACCAAACAAAGCCTCAATGTAGAACAGTCACTGCCAATGTCACCCAGTATCCCTGCAGATTATGAGAATTTAACAAATGCATTCCAGTGGTCTGCAGATTTTTTCCTCTACATACAGCATTTAAAAAACATGTATTAAAACAGACCAGTTTCCAGACTAAACTAATGGAGAAATTACATTTCAGTGCAAAATATTTTAGACTGCATTTCTTTCTAGTATTCCTCAGGTGAAGAAGTGGTTGCATATTATTAAAAATGTAACAAAAGCAGCTAATGCTTTCATAAAGAGTATTATGTTAGGGATCCCCCTCACATCTTTGCCGTATTTTGAAAACAAAATAACATTTCCTATAGCCAGCAATTTTGTTTATTTAAATGTTACATATACTATCTCAAGGCACATCTGATGATATATTTATAACACAGTAGGTGTCAAAGTATGTTTAACATATGATTTCTCCAGGATCCCTCCCCTTTCTGTATTCCAAAATGGAGGAACTGAAAGTGCGGTGTCAAGACTGGCGATCCATATTCTATCTTTGGCAAGCTTATACAAGCACTATTTTAAATGTAATGTAAAAGAACTGTAAACTAGGAACTTCAGTTTATGAAACACCATTCAGCACTGCTTCTTCCTGATTATTTCCATCTTCCTGAACAGTGACTTTCTTTTCATCAGGGCTGTGCTGTAGTTTAGAAGGCTCATCCCCAGAGGTGGTGGCAGGACCATTCACTGCCTTTTCAGATGGGCTGTTTTCGTCAATCGCATCTTTTGCCTTGCAAAAACAAAAACAGGAGTATTAAAAATTCCATAACAGCACAGAGTGTAATCTCAGTTTCCCTCTGACTCACACAGCAGCTTAGCAAGAGGGAACAGCTCTTGTTTGTCTCTGCCTCTATCCTGTCACTTACAGCATCTGATCACTTGTCCTTTATAGGATATTCTGTTTCAGCCACTTTGAGGAAATCATGCCAACATAACCCCAGGACTGCACACACCAGCACACCTAAAATGCTTATTTATTTCTATTTGTCTAAGCCCATGAAGGAGTTTACTGAAAAAACTGAGCTTTACAAGCCTTTTGAAGTCTATAGCAAGATGACATTTTGTTAATGGATCTTTCTCACTTAACTTCTGGCAATACATTGGCATTTTAGAAGTAAAGAAATTCTTCTTTATTCAGTTCTAATCATTTTTCAGGATAATGTAATACCACTCTGATCCTTTCAGGAAAAAGGATCAAAACCTTACAATCTTGGTAAAATTAATTCCTTCTAAAATAGTTTATACAAGTCACTAAAAATGCTACATATTATCCTCTATCCCTAAAGTGTTTTAAGGATTAGTTCTCAGGACTGACCATGAGCAATTTTCACATTTTATTACATAATACAACATTACTTACTGTAATATTTTAAAGTGTGTACACAGACTTAATCTGGCCCCTAAAGTCTGTAACAACAGTCTACAAACCATTGTCAGTTCTGTTTACTCTGGGCCCTTTTTGCTTTTAATGATTTTCTCTTGGACTCAAATGCGCTTGCAGTCAAATGAAGGCAAGCTAACTGAAGCCTTCATTCCTTTGCTGTTCTTTACTGCAAGCTGGTGCTATACTGTTTCCTTTACTGCAAGCGAGGAGAAAACAGAAAATGAATATTAAAAAAATCTTACCGTTTCTTTCTTGGTTTTGGCTACTGTCTCCTTTGGAGGGTTTCTCTGTCTACTTTGAGATTCAGCTCGTGATATATAATCAGCTACTGTTACTGTTCAAGGAAAAAAATCACAGTGATGCTCACATCAGCAGTCAATTCAGCATGAACCTTCATGTCTTTTCTGCACAAGTTATGCTCTAACTGGGAGACATCTCACAAAAGGCCTTCACACTTACAGGTATCAACCACACAGCAATGATCAATTTGTTTCTGTTGTTAAAAACAATTTTCACTAAAATCAGTGGTAACAATGATCTGAAGGTGGACTCTTAAGAAAACCAATTTTGTCCAATTGCAAGGTTTATTGGAGAAGGGCTTTCTAAGTTTGAAGAGATTTGGCTGCAGGCTGTTTGAACTACAGACTGTGTGTGTCACTGGGGTTTATTAGCTGAGTAGTGAAGAATTTCACACTAATGAAATCAAATGAACACAGTTAAATGGTGTCCAGAACTGGGGCAGGTCAGAGACTGGACTCGCTTAGGATGATGATGTGGCATCGAATCTTTGGTATGTCACAAAGCGACTGAGGAGGGAACTTGTCCTCCTCGAGGTGCTGAAAGTGCCACCAGCACTGTGCCACCAGCACTGTCCCCTGGCTCAGGTGTGGCTGCTGTGGGCTGTGTGGACACAGGCGGTGCTGCTGGAGCCAGCCCAGCCCAGGGGCAGCGCAGCTGTGTCTGTGCTGGTACAGCTGCACTCACTGGGGCCAGCCATCTCTTCTCTGACCTCTCCCTACCACCTCAGCACATGTTCTGTAGCCTGGTTTTGTCTGATCCTGCCCTCTTGTAACCACACCAAAACTCAGTTCTAGCATTAGAATATGGACTACTGCAACTTTAAATACACACTTGGGTTGGCAAGTATTACCTACTGAACTGTACAGTCATTTATATTTAGTGTAGCAGGTATTCAGGTGAGCTATTTTTCTGGATTTAGGAATGACTGTGCATGAAATCCAAATCAGACTGAGAACTACAACAGATGATTTTCTGTTACAGTAACTGGACTTCTTACAGCTGGGTCCTTCCAGAACTGAAAGGCAAAGGAGTTTCTGCACAAGTAGTTTTTCTTTAAACTGAGGTTTTATACCCAACTCCTCTAATATTAGTAAATAGGAAGCATGTTTCATGCACACAGTGCATTCTTAATATTCCTCTATGAATAAGGCACCATAACATACAGCAATGTAAATCAAATGATGCAGCTAAATGACTGAAATACAGCAGTTGGCACGGGGAGGGGGGAAGAAACAAAGAGTTCCTTCTGTCTTAACTTCACTCACACTTACTAGGTATTTATGAAGACTAAATTATTACAGCATTTTAACAAAGATGTCAGAGAAATCTTGTTTGGGAAATTTTGTTATGGTCTTAGAATACTTAAGATTTAAAAGAATTCCTATGGTTTTCTAGAAATTACTAACATTCATTTACACTGCTGACTGAGATTAGTTTCTTAGAAATAAAGGCTGGAATACACTGTTTTTGTCCCTTTATGAAATCGTATGCACTGCAACAAAACTGGAATGTTGAGAAGAAATGTGTGGGTTTGAGGTTTTTTAGAAGGGTGGGGAGTTCGATTTTTCCCTTCCCCGAAGTTTTAGTGCAATAGAACAACTTTTTTCTTCTTAATCAAATGTATGAGCACCACAGATACAAGGAAGACAAATATGGGTGAAATTTTGAACCTGTCAATCCAGAAGACCTTCTGTTACTACCCTGTGCCATGTACGTACAAGCATTTTCTAAACAGGGCATTGTATCGATAATTAGCCAGTTCACCTTTAACATTTCAAGTGTTAGTACACACAAAAGAAATGCAACAAGCCACAACAACAAAAAAATTGGAAACATGCAATTTCACTTAAATTCCTCCTCCTTCCCACCCTCAATTTGCAGATGACTTAAACTATTCCCAACAGCCAAGGACTGAGAGCAGCAGTGTGATGCAGGTGTGGGGCTGGCAAACCCCACATGAGTTCCCTCACTGAGCTCTGCCAGGACCCACATCCTGCCCCTTCAACGCTGCTGCTCAGCCAGTGCTGAAAAGGTTGTGTCCCAGTCAGTGCAAGCGCACAGATGCAGTGAGTGCAGACCATGAACCTTCATGTTTGTCGTGATCCTGGAACCACGGAACTCAACAGCACTTTGGCCATTGACTTCAGTGAGAACTGGATCAGAAGCGTAACTCGTATGTCCAAGCAAAAAGTTAGACATCAATTAGTTTCATTAGACAGATTTTAGAAGTTTTCCTAGTAGAAGAAATGTCTTTCATCTTTATCTAGTAGTCTTATTAGTTATTGAGTAACCTTTTGATATTATGCAGCTCTATGTAAAACAGCAGACACAACATTCTCTCATGCTTTTGACCTGAGATTACCCACAGCTCCACTCGAATTACCTGGCTGTCTATCTTCTGCCTGACCCCTGAAGCGACGCCTGCGGCTACGATTGCGTCGCTGGGGTTTTTTGTCACTATCATCTGCAATTGCAAAGTTTATAATGAACTATTTCTGATCATAAAATAAATAAATTCTTCAGCAGTTTCAGCATGGGGCATTTAAAATGGCTTCTGTTAAAGACAGAGACTAAGTAAGACAGAAAAGCTAAAAGAAAATTTTATACTGAAAGCATACACAGTAACACAAAAGCTAGATTTTACTTTTTGTTCTTGGTTCATTAAAACATTTAGGCACGTGCTTAATGACCTCAGATTTCATTTATTAAGTAACCATACGTCAAATTTTAGCAACATAACCCAGATTTTTTTTTTTCTACATTAAGCAACAGATTGTATTCTCATCCCAGGGAGTATCGAGAGAATTTACTGAAGGAAAGTTCTTAAGTAGAAGTTGCATAAAGACAAATTAACAGCTACTTAAGGAGCTTTCCCACACCATGACTGAGGTTACCAAGGACAAAACAGAACGTTGATCTGACAGTACTGTTTCTATCAAGCAGTACCAATGGGAAACAACAAGTCTTTGGTGTCTCCATCAGACAGTTTTTACAAAAAAGGCACATGAAAAGGCTAGTGGAGCTCAGTAAACAGAAGATTCCATGGCACTGCCACGGAGGGAGTCTTTCTTTAATCAAACAGCAACCTTAAACAGAACAATGATTTGTCACTTACAAAAACAAACAAGGGCTTCACTACACTTAGAGGGACAACACGTTTTTTTCTTAGCTTGCTCTGGGACTACCATCCAACCATTTACATACCTAAACCATTCTCATTAACAGAAGCTGTATCAGACTCTGTCATTCCATCCATAAGAACAGCATCTTCATCAGTCCTTCGCCGGCGTGACCTCCGGCGGCGGTTGCTGCTGTGGTGGGACTCGCTGGCGTCCGTGTCCACGGTCTGGTCTGACTCCGTGTTATCCAGCAAGCTGTAAGGGTTGCTGTCCGGGTCTTTAAGCACTAGACAAACAGAAAGTGTCCATCTAAGATACTGTAGAGATATGTAACCATTCCCAGGCTGACTTACAGCTGTGTCTGAAAGTTTCAAACTATACAGCAACCTTAAGCTAAGGTGTAACATACAGAGCTGCAGTATTTGATCTCAAACTGGATCCTCTGACTTTAACCCAACAGGAACAATTCTGGGACACCAAAACAGCCCAGTGTGCACTTGCACTATTTCACCACTAAGATCTCCCAGGTGACATTTAGAGACCTTTTACTCCAAACTTCTAAGTACATAAAACACACCTTATACTTTGTGCTTGTGTGGTAGTTCTGACACTTACAGTGTTATATTAGCACAGATTCTGATTAAACCTAGCTTCCAATCAATCACTTTTCCTTTCATTGTGTACTGAACATAAGCTTACCTCAGAAGGCAGCCATAGGTAACATGCCAAAGATTTACCAAGTTTGCTAGTAACATTATTATGTGTGAGCAGTAGAGGAAGGAAATTAAGATCACTGTGAATACAAAATAAACAAAAATCTAAAACATGCTGCATGACATAGCTACTACACAACTGCACTGAAATCCCAGGGTATTAAGCTCATCATGTAAGAATGGAGTATTTTAAAAGAGTAAGAGGTTATACAGAAAATTGCCAGGAAGGACGTCTCAATTCAAAACCCATTTGGAACACAGTACCAGAGCTAATGGATGACTTTCCACCACGAGGTCCCCCGCGTCCACGACCTCCAGACACGCTACGCCCTCGTCCCCCAGGACGTCGTCTGTTGTCACGTTGGTGCCTGCTCTCCCTGTCGTCTTCTCCTGCCAAGGACCAGTCACTAAGTTCATCTTTCCTCTCAGATTCTGTTTCAGAGGGATTAGAGAGCTCAGAGTTTGTACCTTGTATGAGAAGGAAAAGAGAATTGGAAATGGATATGAATTTGAGGATTATATTCTGGTTTCATATCCTCACAGAAGTATTCCAGCCAGCACAGCTGGTTATATATGTATGTAATTTAAAAAAACCAAGATAATGAATATATATATATATATATAAATACTAACATTCAAGTATACAATCATAGATGTATTTTAATATTTATACATACTCATATATAAAAATATATGCACACAAAATATAGATCAGAAGTTACTTAAGTAAGACTCTCAAATTAAGTTTGTTTGTACTAACATACAATAAGGGCTGAAAGATCACCTAATCTGTAATTTCTGTACACAGATAAACCAAGGATTTAGCAGTGTTTCCTCCCTTTGTCTATACACTGCAGGCATTTGGTTCAGTTTCTAGGCAACTTCTCTGAAATTCCCAAGGACAACTTTACCACCTTATAGCCAATGGTTGTTGCTAAGCAACCCCTTCTGGATGCTGTAATGCTGCTTGAACAATTTCACTGTTTATATTAAACAGCATCTCTAACACCCGGCCATCTCTGAGTACCCAAACCCACACAGCTTTTTACTACCTGAAAAACCAACACCTAGTACTCATTTTAGGTATCCAGGAACTCCCCCTACTACCCAGTCTGGAATATAAAGTTTTGGGCCCATGTGGCTTACATGTGATTCTTGCCATTTTGGGAGGAAAAATAACACTCTAAATTTTCCAAATCACAGTGTGCATATATAAGCAAAGTAAACAAGCTTCCTTACAGTTCAGTCAGTTCACTGGGAAATAAAAAATGAAGTTACAAACATCATCATCACAATCAACACAACTAGCACTTGGCATTATCCAGGAAGCTATAGCCAGAGACAGACTGTAAAACCCAAAAGGTGTCTGATTTTTTAACAGAAATGGGCTACATGCAGATATCCAGAGTAATTTACTGTGTTGAATAAATAACATTGTCCTTATTGTGAAACATGTCTATATAGAAATGCAGTGTCTCCATTTGGACAAGCTGGGGATGTGCACACCTGTCAGGAACTGAACTATGCTTTGTAATTGAGAAATGCATCCGAGTACCTCACTACACCTTAAAATAAATCCAGTTAGTTCCTGACTGAATTAAAAAACCTACAGGATTTTGTGCTGTCTCCATTTTAAATCATTTGGTTCACTTCTCAGAAATAAGCTGTTAAGACAGTCATGATCACAGACAAGCAATTTTTCTCCTTCTCAACCAAAACAGATATAATGCTCATTTCAGATTTTTTTTTTGTCTCCTGAAAAGCATCTCTATCTGTCTTCCCAGCTTTTGTGATGTCACTTACTAAGTAACTAACATGGAAGGACAAGATGCTTCCAGAGCTCAGTTTGTTAATTTTTTCCATTTTAAAGAAACTTCAAGACTGCAAATCTAATGAGGTGTTTTGAGCTATGAACAAAATAAAACGTCAATTCTGAATTTCCAGCCCTATCTTCACTCAATTATGCTGAACACAGAGAAATCCAGAGACAGTTTTGGGCTCCCAGGTACCCCAGGCCTCGCTGAAGGGCACTCACCATAACCAGACGTGTAATTGGGGCCCCTGCGGCCTCTGCCCCGCCCGCTGTAGGACCTGGAGCCCTGCACTGAGGAGAGGGTGCTCTCGTCAGTGGTGTAACCCTTCTCCTTCTCAGGAACTCGAGTCGAGGAAGGCCTGAAGCCCATCCCAATCTGGCGCAGCTGTTCATCAATTTGGAGCCTTTCCAGTCTTAGTTGTTCTACCTCCTACATGCAATGAAACAAAAACCATGGAAAAGATTGCTGACAAATGTCCTTCACAAAACACCATCCCCCACCCAGTAAAATACTCATTTCTATAGGAGAATTAACACCACCTGGAAGATGACTATGAATAATGCAATTCAAGATGAGCTACCTCTGAGTTTCAGAAGAGATTCAAAGACTTTCACCACTATGCAGAAAACCTGGCTTTAAGACCACTACTACCTTTCTTAATTACAGTTCAGCAAACTTTTCCAGTAAAATTTAGGGAAAAAAAAAAACCCAACAAACTGACAAGGGAACACAGTTCAAACTCATTATCTCTGTTAACATCACGAAGCAATCCAATCTGAACAGATAATTGTTCTAATACCACACTGTATTACTGTCTTCTATTAGAAATTCCATCCTATCCCAATGGAGCATTAACCTGAGAACTGCAGAACTCGAACACAGATGAAAAGCTTTGTGTTAGTTCCCAAATGTCCCCTAAAGCCCAGTTCTTTACAGTCTGATCCTTTCTACCCCAACAGCACTAAGTAGCCATGACAAGGTATTTACAGGCCCATGATACCCATGGGCAAGGGGTGGGCTCAAGGTACCACACTTTAAACCTTGATATACAGAGGAACATTTTAATGACTGCAAATCCCACCAAAGCTGTTGCTCAAAAATTCTGTTACTTCAACCCAAGTTTCCCATACAGATCCTCCCTCCCAAAACACACTCACCTTTAGATATGCGATGTGATACTCCAACAGAACTTGGACATTGCCAATGCTTTCTTTAGTACCAACAAATACAAACGGTACCATTCCCTACAGGAACAAAGCACCAAAGCTTTTTATCAGGGAGAATGTTATCATTGAAATAATGCTTTCTGTTTAAATTATATAAAGAGATCTGTTTTCAATTACTGAAGTGAGCTAAACAGAGGCAGCAGCTGAGCCTTCAGCTGCAAAGACATCTAGAAATAGCTCAGGCTGAGGTGACAGCAGCAGTGTCGGACTGCGCAGCTTTCCCAACAACCTATTCTGGAGCCAAGGTAACCTGACATCCCATGTTCACATTCCCCCATGCAACACATGCTCTGTGTGTGTTTAGCACAACGGGTGCACAGAAGCATACAGAGTTTACCAAGAAGGTGGTTCACTAAACCAACTTTACAAGACCAAGCACCTTTACAAGCTTTTACCTTTTGTTCTCATCTATTTAAAATATATGGACACTTCTAACACTACCAATCCCAAATTAGTTATATAGCCCAAGTACATATAGGAGAAAGAGTAAAAAAAACCCTCTTACTTCAGCAGCAAAAACATTCCTTGAATTATTTTGTATAAAATCTACTGCAAGATGCCAGCTTAGAACTAATGCTCTCTATACCCACAGGTTTGAAATAAAACTAGGTTTGAAAATAAAAACCTAGTCACAGCAGGAAAGAATAAAGTACTTACATCTTCACGGGGCAGCTTATTTTCATTGTCTCCTTCAATTCTCACCCTGACGACTCCAGACTTGTCTACAATCTCCTGAATCACTTTTCCATTTTTTCCAATAACTTTTCCTTCAGAGGGCAAGAATGGTTAATTTTGCACCATAATAATAATGTGCCAAGTATTTTAACATGTTTATTGATATTTTATAAATAGAACCCCCAAAGAATACCCCACACTATATCAGAGAAAATGGGTAAAAACTTTTAAAATTAAACTCTCTCTATATGCAAAATGACAAGCAATGATGAAGATCACCACTGCACACAGGCTTCTAATAGAATCAAACCAAGAGTAAAATGGCACAGGAGTTTTGGAAATTCTTATTTTAAATTTATGTATCAAAATTATTTGGTCCTCCAACTCTACATGTGACCTCAATGAATCTTTCCTGACATTTTAGCATGCTTATACATTCGTTGAAGCCTCTTAAATTCTGCCTTTACTATAGACTTGCGTATAACCAGTGCTTTCCTATTACCTTTAAAATACCTATTTTGAGATCATGCATGGGATCCAAACCAAAAGGTTCTTCAGAACCTGTATGTTTAAATCTCAAAAAAATAAAAAAAAGTGACTTCTTGACTCTCTTGGCTAGAAGACTTTAGCTCTTCGACTAAACCTGCGTGGGAACGTCTTCATCACAGCTAGACATGGCACTTAAGAACATTCATGTTTAAATTAGGAGCAAAGGAGGCAGAACAACTTAAAAAAAGGTCAAAAGCCAGAACTGTGTGACAGAGGACTCCATAAGCAATGTTCTTTACAGCAAATAGCAACATGATACAAAGTAATGTGCAAAAAATATTAAAAATTTGTTTCCCTTCCTCAACAGCTCAAGCAGTTTAGCAGGTCTGGGTTTTTATCTTTTTGTATTAGAGTCACTGATGAGCACTACACTGAGCTGTGTATTTTCATTAAGTCTACCTAAATATCTGTCTGCTTACCTGTGTGCCCACAGGTAATGTGATGTGGGCAGGACATTTGCCTCCATTAGAAATTAGCATTGTAATTGCTTATCAGCAGCATTTTCAGTTAAACACACTGCTGTGACTTCTGCCCTGATTCTTGTGATATATTCACATTAATGAATGCTCTCCAAATGCTCCCCAAAACGCAACTTGCAGAACATCAAGTTTAGCAGAATTCCCTGGATTAATTAGATTTACTGAACAAGACTGCAGAAAAAAATTTGTTCATATAAAAACTAGTGATTAATTTGTTGAATGTTAAAATGAGCTTTAACATTAGGTAGATGAGAAAACCATCAAGTTGCATCAGATACACAATTTGCACAAGTCACATTTGGAAAAAAACACTCAAATGAACAAATAAAACCTCATTACACCTTAATCTGGTTGAGTTCTAAAACCTTGAAAGTCTAAGTTATAGGAGTTTGCACATCAATTATTTAAATTATGTTATTTATAATAAGCAGGCTCCAAGCCCCAAACCACAGCAGGTTAAAGCCCGACTTTTAACTTCTCTGGATAATCCAAGCTGTTCAATCAGGTACAACACCTCCAACTTTAACACTGCCTCCATGCCCACACTGCCCACAAGCTGGGCATGGGGAGCAGGGAGCTGCCAGACTTGAGTAAAATGCAGGATAAAGGAAGGAGAATGAGAGAAAAGGAAAAACATTCCCTGTGGAGACCGGACTAGGGGAAGACATTTGTGTCTTCAAGTGGAATGCAATTAACCTCACACCTCTAGGTGGTTTTCAATACAGAACCTACCAGATTATGCTACGCCTTCATAAAGCTGCAACATGGTAAAATGTCTATTTTGAGACTCAGGCCGAGACCTATGAGCACTGCTGATTTATACAGGAGCTCACCAGCATCCAACCACCATCGGTGACAAACCTCAACCCAGGAGGGAGCAGAACAGGAGAACTGTCTCGTGTCAACTGGAGTTTTGCCAGATTAAACTTTGCAACTTAATTTCGGCACTTTTAAAAAGTCAATTTAGTAAAGCGTATTTTTTCACTAGAATCTGAACTTCAAATATTACCATTAAATTAGGTGGTACAAGTCTGTAATCAAGTCAGTTTAAGTGCTAAAATCCTGACAAAGTATTATGCAGCAACAATATATCCAATTTCATAGTAATTCTGATACATGTAGTTTTAAAAGATTAATCACTTTCTACTTAAATGGAGAAATCAAATATTGTACTGGCACCTAAATCCTCTTCGCAAAGTTATGATTAGGCTCCCTTCTCCCAACTTGTCAAGTTTTAGCAGTATTACATACCAACAAGATTTCTGGGAACTTGAATAAAATCCTCCACAAATTCCAAGTAACTTCTGGCCTTTTTTACTGCATCAGCAGTCTGGAAATAAATTTAAAAAAATTGAATTTATTTGTGAATACAGCATATTAAGAACAAAACCTTGTAGTAACAGCTGCCAGTCTTCCAAATAAACTTATTTTTAAAAAGAGAAGAATAAAGACAAGATTAATCTAGTTTTGAACTAAATCATAAAGGAATAATTGAGTGAAATGCCCAGAGACAGAATTCAGTAGAGAAGCAAACCATCAGTAACAAATAAAACATTTTTTTTCATGTTATTTCAAGATGTTTTGAGGTATCAAAATGCATACCCCATCCCTGGAAGTGTTCAAAGGCCTGGTTGGATGGAGCTTTGAGCAAACACTGCAAGTGATTTTACAACCAGGGCACTCTCTTTCCAGAATGCTGGTTTCTGGCCACAGTTCATCTACAATGCTTTCCAAGATAGGACAGTGGCTCTGGTTACTGGGGAGAACTCCTGTAAATGCTCTCTTGCAGCTTTATTATTAAATGACAGAAACCAACTGAGTTAACTGGGATGCTGAAACAAGAAACAAGCCTTCAAATTAGCAACAGCAGAAGTGTAGAATTAAGGAAAGAATATCAGCATCTAGTTAGAAACAACAGCTTAAGAGCACAATTTCCATTTTACATTAATACCCCAGCCCTTTCATCTGTCACTTTTAGGCAACACATGAAATAAGAGTACCACCAGCTCCTGCACCTTTTAATCAAATCAGGCAAATCCTAGAAGAAGGAAATGTATAAATCTCTACTTCTGGCAGAGGTCAGAAGGATGGCAAAAAAGAAACATGGACAAATTCGATTTCAGTATAATGAAAGTAGTGATCAAGCACAAGGAACAGATGAGCAGGAAGCCACTGTGAGGAGCAGAGGTTATGCTGCATTCACAGGGCAACTGCTCAAATAATACAAACTTAACACACACTAGCAATTCTTCACCCTCAATAAATTCTACAAAGAGACACAATTAAGCGAAGAGTTCCTGCCTCAGGTATGTTTATCAATTTTTTTCCCAAATAAAGATGAAGGAACAGTGAAAATGAATTTACAGAAGCAGAGTCACGACAAGAAAATACACAATTGCCAGAGCTGTAGCTCTCCAGTGCACCCATAAGCCTTTCTACACCTCTCACAAGCACTCAGGATTTCTACCTGAGCACAAGCTGTGTAATTCTCATACGCCCCAATATAAATGAGCACATAAAGCTGACTCAGACAAGGTATTCTCATTTCCTTGTAGTAGAACATGAATTAAAGACCTCAAAGGATTCCAGTCACTAGCAACTACCTTTGTTAACTCTGAATTACAACCTACATGTCCACTGATGCTCTCATTACTTCACACAGTAGCCTGAACAACCAAGACACATCCATAGTACCAAAGAGTATAATAAAAAAATTAAATGCAGGATATTTTTCTCAACTCAGCATTATACCTACCAGTGTTAAGAATTGCACAAGAATTGACTGCAATTCCATTTTGACAGTAATGAAGGTCTAAGAGGAACTTTTCTATTTCTGAGCCAGCTCCCTCTCTCCAGGAAGCACAAGTTTCCATAAGTAGTCCAAGCTACACTGTCCCAAGCTCTGAAGTTCGCAGGCCTGTGACCTGAACAGGCATCACAATCAGAAGTTCAGGCAACAAGGAAAGGGTCTTGAAACCAAAATGGCCTTGACCAGGCAGGGGTAAGTGCATAAAGAGCATGCCATACAGTTTAGATTCCTTTGATCCACAGAGCATTCCAACATTCTCTAAAACTTTTACTCATGTTTCTTCCCTCAAAGAGTCTGGCCCTGAGCAGCCAACTTTTATTTGTAGGCTAAACATCAGTTATGGGAAAGCTTCGGACCATAGTGACTGCTATGTCAACAACACTGGTTCACTACTCCCACACATCTCAGCCTGAAATTGTCTGCCAGTGCACTGAGACATTAGGGGCTGGCTGGTTGCCCACTGCAGCAGAAGAGAGGCAAAAAGAATAGGCAAGTGTAGCCAGATGCTGAAACTCTTATCATGTGGAATAGTTAAGCTGACTGGCAATTTTAGAAGCACTTATCACTTCTACGAAGGACAAGGCTGGATGTGCCTAAAGGCATTTTTATTTAGGGGGCATCTGGTATTTATATTCATTGCTGTGCACCTCTGTAAGAGGCTGGTGACAGTCATAACCTTTGCACAAGTTCCAGCATTCAGATGAAGGAGATCAAAACTGGAATACACTGGACATTCCAGTGCATTTAAACTTGTCCAATTCTTTCTCAGGAACTGAGAAGCAATTTACTGGCAGTAGGAGATCAAAGAAGGATCTGTTGCCACCCTGATATCCTGGAAGCATTTAAGGTTTCCAAAACAAGGACACAATTTCAGAGATACAAGGAAGCACAGAAGTTTGACCTCCTCTCCACAGGATCAACTTCATCTGAACCTTTGATCACAACCAGGTTCTACTCCTGACACAGACGGAGAAGAATTCAAGACCTCAGATTCCTGAACTGTTAACATCAGAGACTCAGTGGCACCTGTAGAGTTAGGGACAGGGAATAAAAACCCTCAAAATATTTTCTGACAGGGCCCTGGTGACAGTGGCATTATTGTCACTAGCCTTCTGCTTCCTGAATGGATCCTTGTTTTGGCACAAGGAGCAGCTACATTCCAAGGCAGTTGTGAGATTCAGAAGAGTCACACAGATCAAATCAACTTGGAGCAAATCATTCTTTTGCCAAAGCCAGCATTAAATTGCCAAAACGTAAGAGTTAGAAGCAGTAGATACAGGCTTTAACACACCTGGCTAGGTCAGAGGAGCAGACAGCACACAGCAAAACACACACAAAAGAGGCAGTGGGGAGGAGCAGAACCAATAAGGTTCTGAGGGAGAAAAGAAATACAAACAAACCCACGATCAAGTAAAATAGCAAGAAATGATACCTCTCTCAGTTTGAACCAGGATATATAGCAAAATGGAGTGATTAGGACTAGGACAGAACACACCTTATGGAAGTCACTACTGCAACAAAGGCTTGTATTTCAAATATATGCAGTATAAGCTGCCACAGTGTCAACGTGCACAAAGACACTCACAGAAAATCTCAGGAGCTGTTTTCTGTTCTTAAGTCTGGGTACAGCTCCCACCACTCTAAAAGCAGATACAGAGTGAAATACTCCAAGGATTCATATGAAGTTCCCCCTTACCTCTCCATAGATTCTGAAAGTACCGGTATCCTCCTCAAGTTCAATGGTTGTAACTCCTGGAACCTTTCTGGCTTGTTGTATGTTACTGCCATGTGTTCCTATAGCAAGTCCCATTAAATCTTCTCTGACTACAAACTCCTCATGAAATGCTGCAGCAAGCTGCTTTGTGCACTGAAGGGAAAACAAAGGCAGACTCATCCATGTGCACTCACTGTAATGCACTGCTCTAAGCTCAGTTTTAAGCAATGAGAGCCACAAGCTTTACCTCCAAGTGTTTTGTAGCTTCCTCGTTTCTTGACATCAGCATGAGTTTGGTGCGAATGCTGCGCAGGTGCATGTCACTGAGGATGTTCACTCTTTTTACTGTTGCTTCACTGGCAGACTACAGGAGAGAAGGAACCTAAGTTTTGACTTTGTAAGCAAATACACATTTGAAGGATAAATCAGGAACCTATTGAAACTAAGTCATAAACATGATCTCCATTTCCAGAAGTTACATGAAAACTTTTCTTCCTCAAAATAAAGCATGAAAAATTCAGCACCACCAACAACTATTTGTTCTCACTCTCAGCATATTTACATTAAAGACTTTGCTGCTGAATTATACAGCAACCCTTTCCCCTTGATGTTGCTGAAACAAATCTTTCTACAATATACATACTTGTCATTGTGTGGGTAAGAGAGCTAAGGAAATAATCAAGGACAGCACAATCATGTAGAATGAGGTTCAAGCGGATAATGCTGAGTAAATATGAAGAAAAAAATAAATCTGGTACAACCCTATGTAGTAAGAAAACCACCACAGAGGCATCTAAGTGAACAATTCCTTAATGGCTACACTGAGCTGGTGCAGTTCTCCATGTGGAAACCCAGCTGTGGGTCAAACTGCACACTGTAATACAGCATGAGGGGAAAGTTGTTGCTCCAGAGTGGAGTGAGATGATTTACCTCTGAGCCACCTGCTAAAATCAGTGAAACAGAACTCAGCTGGGAATGACAAAAAGTCATACAAACAATGCCACTCAGTGCAGCTTCTAAAATTAAGTTGTATGCATTGGAGGCCTTACCCCCAAAGATTAAATGCATCTACTTAAATTAAATGCCTCACAATTTACATAGCTTAAAAAGTTAAGCCATTCTCCATACACACACACAGCTGGCTATGTATTTCCTATAAATAATATACTGGGACTTCATATAACATTTACATAGAAGCAATTACATACCAGTATTATTAGTTGAGCAGTTTCAGCATGATAAAAAATTCGACATGCTCCCACAGCTTTCTTGAAATCTTTATGTGCATTTTCATTAGCACACCTAAGGAGACAAAATTACTGTTTTTTCAACAAGTTGCATCAAAACTGAAAATGTAATAACATAATCAGACCCAAGAACATTTAGTAGTTTATGACAAGGACTGTTTAGAAACAGGAAAGTTCCCACTCTCCTCAATATGATTCCAGTTTCCCTGTGGAATCTATGGCACCATGATTATCTGGAAAGACTCAGAAACAGGCCTTCTGTGAAATGAATCACCTATAGAGGCAAGAAGTTCCTACCTGAGAACTTGCCTTGTGTCCCCCACCCCAAAAGCTCAGCAAGGGTCCCAGTAAGCAGTTTCTAAAGGAGCTACTACAGCCATAAACACCCTTAAGATTCTTCACGGACCTGTAAATCAGCCTCTAAAACAGAAGCCAAGTGGGTTTTTCTCCCCCTTCCATAAAGTAAAAGCCTTCTAGAAGTGTGCAGAGCTACTCACGCATCTCTCAGGTCTTCAGGAACATCCACTGTGCACTTGAAGAAGGTGTTCTTTTTGACAGTTTTGTTCTGATTCACAGGTCGGAGTCGTTCATAAGTGACAATTTCATTGTAAGTGGCATCACAAGCAGCATATTCAATGACGTAAAACTGGGAGGTTTTTTAAAAAATAATAACTTCAGTAAGGAACAACAAAAACATAGTAACATTACCAGCATCAGCAAGGAATTCACATATGAATGTATGAACAAAACCCTAAAACTAAGTTGAGACAATGACACATTTCTACACAAATGAGCCTGGACTTACTACAGCACCCCTCTGCTCCCTCACTGAAGTCAGTGAGTCATAATCTCAGTCTACCACAACTGCATCTTGGATCAATTTTTCTCATGCTCATCTCTCTTTCAAATAGTTTCATTACTTCAAGTTCAAAACCCAAAATGTTTACTGGAGCTCAAATTCTAAATAATATCAGAGAATAATTCTTCACAGAAATATCTACTCTGCAACACTAAAACAAACAAGGCAAATCCACTGATTCAATAGGTAAACTACCTGGGAATCATGCACAATCAAAATCAATACAAAAACTCAATCTTTTCAACACATAGTACCAAATTTAGGGAGGCAAGAGAACTAAAAAGATTTAAGTAACCAATAATCTACTCCTACGCTTCTACCCAACACATGTAAGTTTAAAGAAGCTTGTGTGCACAGTATCCCTGCAGCCTGGCTCTGTGTTAGGGATGCAGCCTTCTCCTCCCCTCCCTTCCACCTGGATGCAATAGTGCATTCACCTCTTCCTCAAAACTGGAATCTGTTTGTCTCAACACAATTTGCTTAAGTAGTCAGAAAGAGTAATTGCTGACAGTTTTTAAACAATCTTAGAAAGTGGAGAATTATTTTTTCTCTGTACTGTTTCCTTTGGTTTCAGGAATCTGATACAGCAGAAGCATCAGAACACAAGATTCTTCCACTATGAAGTTCAATTCTCTTTGCTGTCATTTCACAAAATACAGCTTTAATAGGACTGGGTCAAACACTGTCACACAGCTCTATACATTCAAGTGTCTGAATCTGCAAGTTACTTGGCAGCTGCAAACAACCACTTATTTATGGTAAAATAAAAACATATCTAAAAGCAAAACAAGCAGTGTCCTTCCCCTACACTCAGTGAAAACACATACACAAAAACCAACCCACAGCCACCCACAGCAATAGCTACAGCAGGTTTAATTTACCAACTATAAACAGGTTTTAAACACAGGTGCTTTACTTCATTTTCAGCATCAAGTTCAATCCACAAGACAGGTTTGTCAGAAATCCTGCCCCTGTGCATGCCTTCAGACCTTCAAGCAATTAAACTGCAGATAATGGAAGTCACTTGTCACTCCAACACTGTGCAATGCAGCAAAGGTCATTCCAAAGTGGTCACAACTTGTAATTCTCTTTTGTCATGTTTTTGTATTGGTAGTACTTTAGTCAGAGTTTATTCCTGGCAAAGAACTTCTATTAACTGTATTTAACACGATAGCATGAAATTGGTAACTTTTAAAATAATTTACCTCTCCTTTCATCATTCGAACTTTTGCCAGCCACCAGCCACAAGGTTCTTGTTCATTTGCCCGCGAATAAACCTAGAAATGAAAGCAGTAAGAACCACTGAAAGCACATACAAATGTAATTCACTTATTTGCATATATGATGAAGGAAGAACCACACAGCTTTTCTAATTTTCATTAAAACGGAACAGTATTCTACCCCATCCTTCTTGCACTGCAAGGACTGCGAACAACATTCCTTTGCATAAATTACTGACAATTCAATGGAAATTTTTAAAGGAAGATGAAACTTTGGCTAAACAGTTCTTTGGGGGCAATTCCTCAGTAAATTCAAACACCGTCTTCAAATTGGAAGTCCAGTCATAGAACTAACTTCATGATTCAGATTTTTGTTTTGTCCTTGGCTTACTTGATAAACCAAGGACTACTGAAATGAACCAAGTCATCACATGACTACATATTCCATATTAAAAAACACTACCAAGTTAATGCATGATCAGATACAGAACAGAGAACTTCTGAAACCCAGTTTTCTCATCCTTAAGTTCCATTTGCTCCTCATACACTTCTGATAGGCCAAAGTCATTTGCACACAACCTGAATGAGTTTTACAACAGCAAGGAAGTAGAAAATAACCCTCTACACATAACCTCTAATAAAGGCAATGTATTTTAAATAAAGGAAGAGAAAAACCCAGCACCTATGCTACATTTTTTCTTAGATTAGTTGCCCAGAAGTATGACACTATCCTCAGGAAAGGAAATTCATTACTTTGATTTTAAGGACAAGTACAGAAAAAAACCCAGAAATTAAACTGAATCACTCATGATACTACAATGAGGAGGGAACAGAACATGCATATTTTGATTTCTGGATTTAATACATCACTCCTATTAACACTTTCTCTCTACAGAACACCGTAATTTACACAATTTCATACTAGACTGTACCAGACATTTCATCTGAGTTAAAACTCTTATTATCAGAGGAGCTTTATTACATCTTCATATCAAAGATTTGCAAGACTTAACATTCCAGGTCAAAAAAAGAAAACTGCCTACATTTTGTGTCAAAATTAAAACCTTCTCAGCTATTTTAAGTTTTAGATTTTGAAAAAATTTCCACTGGCAGTTTTGTGGGAAAACTGAAATGTCACAGCTTCACTGAAATTCTAATAAACTCATGTGTAGAGACATGCTCCATTTCAAACCTTCACCTTGATAATGCCCTTACACCCCTCACCACTGCCTGGAGCGAACAAACAGTTCCAGACCAGGACAGCTCATGAGCATTTACTCACCTCCACCTCATCTCCTTCACCAATTTCTTTCTTGATATCAGGGGGTGGTGGTAATCTGACTTCATTGAAGGGCACCTGGCGCTCTGGTTGCCAACTGGAAGGTGAAGAAGCATTACACATTAATTCTCAATTTTCCCCATTGTTTTCTTCGTTTTAATTTTGGAATTCTGAGTTTCATTAAAATTCATTCTTTCATGAGGTTTGTTTCCTTGCATATAGACAGAGGAACAACATAATCATGACAAGACAAGACAAAAGCAGTATCTGAGGAGATATTTAACAACAAAATTTTTAAATTAACTGAATAATTTAACTAAGGGCTTTCATAAAACCTCAGTAAAAGATATTGTATGATGTAGTTAACACTCCTACTGCTCAAGTCATAGAGCCCTTATACATATTTAAGCTCAGCTTTGCAGTCCACTATGGGGTTCATCCATTTCTCCACCTCATATTTAACATTTCAACTGCTTACCACTGAAGTTTTATGTATTTCAGGAAAATCTGAACCCAATCTTTAACAAAACTTTCCACCTGCAAACTTGCTGATGTTCCCCAGTAACAGATTCAGATCAAAACATCTTTACATCTGCTTATCAATACCAATTATTTCTAGCCATACAAAATAAAGGTTTACTTTCTTGTATAGCAAAGCTATTTGTTTTACTATGGTTGGTTCTACAAAATTATTGTATTTGTAGAAGTGTACGTTTCCGGTGCATTTTATGAAGACAACGGGAGCAATTAAATTCACTGTGTTCCCCTGAAATTCGTTCTCCTTCTACTCTGTGAATGTCATAGAATACCATCAGCTGTTCTTCACTCTTAGTCAGAAATCTGACTAAAGGCTCTACAAAGGTTCAAATAAAAAAACAAGAAAAAGACCCTTCAAAAAATAAACTTATTAATTTGGAATATCTGAGGGACTTCTAATGGTATCTGTCAAAGTATTGCAACATCCATCCTTTCTGCCCCTGATTCACTTTAGAACCAACAGAATCAGAACCAACCAACTTGTAACAGTAAGGATTCCTGCAAGTCATTTGCTTCGCTGACTTTTAATAACCTGCAGACAGAGCAGCCTGCGTTAGTAGAACAAGTCTGAGCATAAGGAGCAAAGGGCACGTCTGCAACTTCCTAGATGAGATAATGGATACATTTACGTTTGCTCTGAAACAACAGCTTACACTCAAATACCTCAATGAATTAAGACGTTACATATCATATAGTTTTGATCTAGATATTATAATAATTTTTTCTTTTAATTATAGTTTGATAAACAACAAAAATGCACGAGGATTATTACTGAGGTGCTGGAACACATTCAGAGAAAGACAAAGAAGCTGGTGAAGTGTCTGGGGCATAGATCTGATGAGCAGCAGCTGAGGCAGCTGGGGGCAAGCTCGGTCTGGAGAAAAGGAGGCTCAGAGGGACCTGAGAAGGAACAGCGTCAAGCTCTGTGTGCCAGGGAGGTTTAGAATGATAGTAGGGAAAATTTCTTCACTAAAAGGGTGGTCCTTTGGAATGGGCTGTCCAGGGAGGTGGTGGAATCTCCATTCCCAGAGGTGGTCCAAGGGCACATGGATGTGGCATTTCCAGAGTGGTGAAGACCATGGTGCAGGCCTCACAGGTAGACTTGATCTCAGAGGATCAAGTGTCAGCCTTCCCCAGCCTCGAGGATTCTATGACATGGATAGCTTTTGTTTAGGTTGGAAGGTGTTTCAGCCACAACATGTTAATTAAATCACATTCTATTTCTGAGAAATGGTGAAGGGGGCTGACAAAAACATTCAGCTGCAGTTAAAATGTCCTTTCTGCAAATGTAACAGTTACTAATTTCACGGTTTGGGATTTTCACCTCCCTGCCAGTGGAGGAAGTGCACAGTGGAAAAGCGCACAGAAGGCTCAGCTCTCAGAATATGAGTCCAAATTTTGGTGGCAAAACATTTTAAGTCCAGAACTGAAGTATCTCACTGGTGAAACGCAAACCAAGATGTTTTAAAAAATTACTTGTGATGGGATACAAACTACCTACCAAGATAATCTGACAGAACTGATGCCTAAACTACAGAGCAAACATCACAAAAAAGGGAGGTTCCTGCTTCTTCCAACACAGAAGCCCCTCCTTCAATTTAGCTGCTCCAAACTCCAATGAGCCTCTATGAAACTGTACCTCAAGATCCAATTTTCCATCCAACAGTAATAAAAGTTTCCAGTTCCCGAAGCTTCTGCATTTGTTCCTTGCCTCCTTACCCTCAGAAAATGTCTCTTAAAAGAACTAGGGCTACCTGCCCAGAGACTGAGCACTGCTATGGTCACAGAATCATCATTAGTGCTGCTACACTTAACTTTGGGAACCTACCAATAGCTGTAGATAAAGATTGGCTAACAATAGCAGAAAATGCAAAGTGACAGTTTTGACTGCCTATTGTGGGGTAGATGTGTGTATTTGTTAGTTATAATCACTATCACAACACTTGATGCTCTCAACAGGACACTTGCCAATTTTGGTTCCACTAAGGCCCTTACGAATTTAACTCCATAAAAAGCATACAAATTGATCAGATTTACGTCACAGAATAATTTGACTGTGTACACACTTCCTGATCAGATCTATTTTTAGTCAACAGAACACTCTACATATGCTGCAGCCCATCCTTTTTGAACTATGGCTGCTACCAGACTTTCTGTAGAACACAGATAATATGGATACTAAACACTAGAAATGGATTTGCCAACAATTCAACTCCTCCTGTGAACCCCTGTCAGTTCCATTAGCTTACTTGATTTCTGACATCAAAGTATGTATTTTAAATGCAAAGAGAAGTAATTACTTTTCTTTAGAAATATATGGACATTGAAGATTAAACTCATGATTTGTCACATCTTCTTAGACCACAGATAGAATGAAGCATTTAACTTTTTTTTGTTTGCTGGGTTTTGGGGTGAGGGTATGAAAACCTAGGAAATAGTAACAGATTCCATAACAACCTCAGTGTTAGTACAAATTACAGTTGCCACCTCAACTTTCTAACTTTCTTCATAAAAGAAGGACTAGAAAGCATAGGTTAGAAAGAAAAAAAAACACTGTGCTTTGCAGGGTAAGTCCCAGGATTATTTATGTGTCTGCCCCAAGGATTTCTTTTAACACACATGTAAATGTACATACACATACACACCTGGAATTACATCAGCAGGATTATAAATACTGTTTAGAAAGACACACTTGCATACTCCCTAGCATTACCTTCATTACCCAGCAATCTTTCTTCAAGAAAGGCTCAAAGACTAATCTACAGGTTAGAGCTGGCAAAGGTTATAACCATTTTCACATCAAAAGGTGACATATTTTATAGGATCTCCACCTAGTAACTGGAAGGGAAACAGGAAAGAGGATGTAGCTCACAGAGTATTTGGAATTAGCACTGGAATCTCCCATAATCCACAGTGTTATCAGTCAGAATGCTGAACAGGTACTCATTTGTACTTTACCAACCCATGGATTAGCCTTGGCTTGCCACTACAAGCCCCCAGCAGCACTGCTGTGTTTATATATTAAATGAAATGGCCCTCATGGATAATTCTTTTTCGAGATTTGCTAACAGATTTGCACTCTTTTTCCACTCAAAAACAATAGGTCTTTTTACTGGATATATATGTATATTTATCCTCCTAATAGTTAAAAGAAAAAAATCGCCATCAGGATGTTTTTACTTCTCTCTGGTTGAGAATACTGATCAGCATTCCAGAGACTAGACACAGAATTGCTCATTTGAGTACTTTGTTACTTTCCATCTTTTTCTGCTTTAATGTAAGAGTATCAAACCTGTGCCACTGATTCCTATGTTAATTAAATTTGACTGTCACATCTATGGGCACCACTAAAGATACCAAAGAATGTACAGGACTGTGTAACTGATGAACTGGATTCTGATACAGATTCAAGAAGGCAGCTCATGGAAGCTGAACAGAATAGTAAGCCTGTACTTCTAGAACTATATCTAATGAAATCTGCTTCCTCTTAAAGGCAAAACAATTAAACAAAAAAATAGCAAAAGTAAAATCTGAAATAACCTAATATTGAAATAATCATTTAAAAAATAAAATACTTACTTGTTTTCAAATACAACTGTGAGGGAGTCCTCATGAACATCTTTGATAAATCCCTAAAACAAAAATATTTTTGTTACAAAAATGCATGTGAAATCAAAAAGGCAGCAATTTCAGTACAGCCTGAACCTGAGCCAAGACCACCACTAACACCAAGGTTCCAATCTCAGAAAGCTCCAAGACACACTCCCACTCTTTGCACGAGGTTGCTGATATTCTTAGCTGGCTATTCCAAGACATGCGGAGCAGGGACTGCTCAAATCTGACCAGCTGATGTACAACTGAACTCACTACCAAGAGTTTCATACTCTATTCACAGGTGTGCACAGGTGTTTTACAGGAACAAAATGAGAGAGATCCAGGGAAGGACAGTTATTCCAATAGCTGTGCACAGCACTATTTGCTTCACTGGTGTTCCTCCCAGCACAAACTGAATCCTAAACAACTGTCCCCCTGAACAGTCCAGCAGCCAGTTTGTATCACATTTGGCAGTAGAGGCTGCCACACAACCAGTTATGGTATCATCTTTCAGGTACTAAATTGGGGACTGGATGAGGCCAAATGCCTGTAGGACCTCCCAGGAAAACGAAGAGAATACCGTATTTCATGGTATTTTTGTGCTTACATTTAGGGGGCATTCATTATACCAAAACCTTAGAAACAAAGGTCAACCTCACAAGGTTATACCCAAGTATCCATGAAGAAATTAAGCTGCTACACTTCTTGATTAAGGAGCGTAGCCATGCTGGAAAAAAAATAAAATAAATAAATAAATAAAAAGAACACTACTCCTGCCTTTGCTCCAGCCCAAGCAGAGGTGGTCAAGGAGGACCCTGCAGTTTTAAAGGAGTAAGAAAGCATAGCCATGTTAAGAGAAAGAAGTTCCAGGAAATCTACTGAATGGATTATATCCATTTAAGAAACTGCCAGCTGAGGAAGACGAAGAACATATCAGCTGTGCAAGGAGCAACCAGCCCACAGAGGTATTATGTGTCAGCTCAGGCAAAGATAAATTTTGACACAGTAGATCCCTCCATGTAATGACAGACAGTAAAGGAGCCCACACTGACAGCTGGCTGCAAAAGGCCTATAAAAACAAATCTCCTTTTACCTGAGCTCATACTCGGCCAATGCTCTGAAAGCACTTGCTCAAAACCTGCTTTTCTGCTCCCCGAGCTTCTCTCAAACCCATCTGTCAGCAACACAAAAGACTGGTTCTAGCAGAAAGCACACCGGTAACCCTCAACAAAGCAGGTCACCAAAAGTCATCTTGTTGAACCACCTAGTGTGCTCCTAATAAAATAAACCCTCTCAAAGGCCACCTGCCACTGCAAGGGGAAAGCAAGCAAATCTCCTTCTCTGAAAGGTAAGCAAGTGAAACAGTTGAGAGTAAACCACACCCAGATTCAGGGACTTTCAGTTTCAAGGAAACTAGATGGAGTATAAAGTAATGTCTGTTTAAAGATGCAAAGAGCATATAAATTTCTACTGACTAATGCATGGGTAAGCCAGCAACAGATATAAAGCTTCTTATAAAGAACTTCTACCAAATTTATGCTACCAACAATTCCCTTCAAATGTATCCCAGCAAGGGGACAAATTAAAGCAGCATACAGTGCAGGAAATAGGAGTTTTTCTACTACAATTCATCCAAACTCTATACAAGGACAAAACACTGAAGTCACAGCACTGAGAACCAACCTCATGCAGTCCAGCATTCTGCTTCATGACAACTTATCAACAGACAGTCGTATTTACAGGGAGAGATTAACTCCCTACTAGAGACAGCCATTTATCTGCAATCCAAGAGTCTGTGATTCAATACTAGTCTCTGCCTCATTATGCTACTTTATTTCATAGCTGAACCTGGTCTTCTATTCCTGTTGTGTTCTCACAGTACTCAATGTATTTCTAAGGTCAGCCTATAGTAGCTAAAAATTTATTCTGCAGAACTGAATTCAGTTCCTTCCTTTGCTGAAAAGCACAACTTCAGTATCAAGAGAGATTCCAATTCAGGTACCATAAAAAATCTGATTAACATTCAGAACTTAATGCTCTTTAGAGTTAAGAGAGTCATGAATCCACTGAGGACAGATTTCATTAAGACGACAAAAGAAGTGCAAAAAAGGAATCCAACAGCAATGACTTTTGAAGATTTAAGACAATTAGCCCATTACCAGGTGAAGTGTGGGTTTCTGTGTAAGGTACAGACAGGTTTAATAGTCACAACCAATTTTCAAGCTAAGGTCCCACTGAAGAATGCCAAAGCTCAAGTGGAACAGGAATGCAGAGATACAGCTCTCAACAGACCAACAGCTGACACTATGCAAACGTCAGCTGCATAAACAGAAACACTGGACAATTTTTAATAAAACCCAAAGTACAAATTCCAACAAAGAGTCTGTACATTTTACAACACCATGGGGGTTTCAGGAACTCCTTCACGGACGGAAGTCTTTCAGTTCAAAGTGTGCACACTGCTCTTTCCTCCCACAGGAGAATGTAATGCAGACTCACTGCTGGCAGACACGTAGGCAGCAACTGCCTTGGAATTACCTGTGCAGCTTTTTCACTTGGTATTCCCAAACTCTTCCACTCCCTAGTATAATCCAACATAACATCTATCAAGTGTTCACTTCAGGTCACGTTTGCACATATGTAAAGTATCAAATAAAATTACATGACTATTAAACAATTTTATTGTTGTGAGGCATGAAAAAAGTCTGATTAGAATGTAACTGTAAACAATTACTTCTGATTATTATCAATTTCTCTACAGCTGTGGGGATGAGATCACATTTACAGCAACTGAAATACAGAAGTCTATGAGGTATTATGGACTGTATGGTCTATTTTTAATAAAACTAGAAATAATGAAAATTCAATATGGCTTTTAAATAGTTTTCTTGGAAAATATTTAATTACTATCATGAAGGACATCAGAAGTATCATTAGAATATTTCCTGAAAGCAAAACTTCCTGCATATGACTTTCCCACCTTCAACCCCACCTATACACTTTATCAGCTGTCACTTACAACTTCCAGAAAAAAACAGAAAGATTTCATGCATGTCAGGATGAGATTTAGTGTAGTCTTTAAAGAGGTCTTCATAGAGCCTATGATAATTAAATTAAAAAAAAAAGGTTTTACCAAAAAACCTGTGACATTATGGCATTTCACAATACAAAACAGACATTGTAGTAAATCCTATAAATTCACAAGGATTTCTACAGAAGAGGTGTGATGAACATAAAACAGAAAACGAAATAACCTGGTTTTCAATTAGGGAGTTTTGAAGGAGTTCTTTATTTGTGAGGCAACCTATATAAATAGATTAGCACTTGTCATGCCTGATACTGTATCAAAAACATTCTCTACTAAATTAAGTAATGATCCCTCACCTCAACTTTTGCTCTAATGAACAATGTACTCTTCACTGAAATTTAATTTAGCAGTGTTGCCTAAGACAGATAATGCCAGTTTCTGAGTCTGAAGAGCTCTGACATATTATTCCCTGTACCGCGGGAGACGAGGCAGAGCTACCAGGAGACCACCAAACACGTCATCAATAAATACAGTGGCATCAAAAAGAGCAAGGAATTGCAGTACCAGCAAGTGAGCTTACACATAACCTTTGTGTTTTGTAACACACACAGATCTGCAGAGGGCAAAAGGGGAAGAAAAATTGACATGACTTCATCTTGCCAGACCTCTGATTCGGCCTCTGCAGATACTGGTGTCAGTCACTCCGTTTGTGCTGTGAGCTGCATCTCTGGCAGTCCATGTATGCCCTGGCTGGAGCAGCCCCGCTCAGGAGGAGCAGGAGACTGTACTGTACTATGAGCTATTAATGTCCTGCTGGCTCCACAGGATCCTGGGCTCAGACCTGTCTCTGCCACTCACTTGGCAGGAGCTGGGCTCCCAACACCAGCACCTGCAGAGGGACAGGATGGGACACCCAGGGAATCTCAGTTGGGGCTGGACAGGGTGTGCAGGGTGAACCACAGGGCAGGAAACTCTCAGCCAATCTTTTGCACCAAAATCACTGCAGCTGAGACTTCCTCATTTCATAACAGACACCCACACACACTCTTTCCCTTTTACCTGGGTTTTGCGCATGGATTTAGGATTAGGATCTGCTGATAACATAAACGGATCAAGACTTACTGAAGTGCCCTTACAGTGAACTGTATGTCTGTGTATGGCTGTGTATGTGTGTATGCACACACACAACTATTTTTTTTAGAAGTCCAATTCTAGGCAAGTCACAAAATCTGTAAAACAAGCAGATGCAATCCAAGTTCCCTCTATATCCTACATTCTCTAAGTTTATCTGATTCCCACGTAGGGTGATCCAATCTAAAAATAAGGTGCTGTTAGTCTAGCTACAAACTTTCTTTCCAGGGACAGCCACTGTGCTGGCCTTTGAGTCACACATACCTGCACACTAAAACTGTATTAGTATCACCGTACCCACTGCTGAGCCAATTTCAAACAGCAAACACTTCGGCATCTGGTACCACAGACTGTTGCTGAACCAGTGCCATAAAGGTCAAGCAGCCTATACCAATATATCCAATTACCAAGCCTTTCACTCCTTTTCAGATAGAAGAACCTTTGGTATTTCTAACTAGCACTGAAACACAACTGTTTCATGTGACAAACACATGAAATAATTATTGCTAAAGGATGTATCTCATGCTGAGCCCCCAAGGGAAACAAAAAGAAAATTAAGCAAACAAAAGAAACTTGTAAATAATCAAACCACTTGACAAGAAGGTCTGTACTTAGTATTATTTTCATTTTAAGTTATTAGCTGCACCTGTTTATACATGGAACTGATAAAAGCAAGTAGCTGTGGCTTACTGCAAAACACAACCACCACAAGCAGGTCATGGAAGTCTCAATGACTCATTTCTTACACTGGTTTCTTCATCTGCATCCTCCAAAAGGGCAAAACTTCTGGAAGACATCCTCCACTGATTATGTACCTCAGCAGTCAATAACCACTCCCTGCGGAATCCCCCTTCTATCAGCATAAAAGGCTCAACCAAACAGCACAGCAACAGTAACTACAGCTACTTCTTGCAAGACTTTACACAACTTTCAACTCATCGGGAACAACTTTAAAACGTTTAAAATTTCCCACCCATATAGATGTAGGGCCATATGTAATAAAAAAATGCTGACAATTATAACACAGTTAAGATCTTTAAAGGAAAAACCAAAGGTCATTCCAGTTAGTTTGCTGGTGTAACAATGTGTAAACTACATTCCTGATGACAATTTCCTACTTTAATAACCATCAAGCTAAAAAACACTCAGAGCAACTCAAGTTGTTTGCAAAGCTACTAATTAAATATTTTAAGAAAAACTTAAAAAAATAATTGTACTTTTGTTGATGCATAAACCTTCACTCCCACAGAGTTGCTCATCAAGCTTTGGCTCTACATGTGGAGAAATGGTGTGTACTTGTCATTCATCATTTTTTCCCCTTAGTAATATTTTGGCTTGTGTCTGCCTTGAGGCCAATGCCAACTCCTGCTACCAGCATTTTGCTTAGTCTTGTTACCAGAACAACTGCACCTCTTGAAAGAGGAACAGGCCAACAAGGAAGCACTTCAGAACCTGTAAATGAAGGGTTGAGTTCCATTTTAATTCATGGGGTTTTTTTCCCCTTGCATAATCTAAACAGCTACGACTGTAGAACTTAAAGAAACAGAAGGGCCTGCAGCACACCAGAGCCCATTTTCCAGCACAGCTAAGTCTCTAGCAGGAAGTACACAATGGATCTTCCAGAGTTGTTCAAATGCCACTGACTCAGAGGAATTGATCTGATGTTCAGTTCATGTACCTTGGTCTTACTGTAAGGCTCAACCTATTTCAGGGAAGCTGAGGTAGGAAATCATGAATAATGTGCATCACCAGGGTTCTTAATCTGCATAAATGAGCACATAAAGACTGATGGAGATACTGAGTAAAACTGAAGTTTTTGTCTGGTTCTTCCAAGACCCTCTACAACTGGCAGGTCCAGAAGTAATGGCACAAATGGGAATATGGGAATTTCTGAATGAATGTCAGGAAACATTTTTTTTTTTTTTTTTTTTTTTTTACTGAGAGTGACTGAGGAGAAGCACGGGTTGTTTGGGAAGTTGCAGCATTTCCATCCTCACAGATACTCAAAAGCCATCTGGATATGGACAACTGGCTCTAGGTGGCCTTACCCGAGCAGGTGAACTCCCATAGTCTCTGTCAGCCTCAGACATCTGTGATTCTGTGAATTACTTCATCTTAATGACACAGTGAACCATCACCCTGAAAACACTGCAGGCAGGCCAAGACAAGGCTGGGAGTATTCAGCTTTCACTCTCTTCAACACATTCAGAAACCAAAGAAATCCAAGTATTTTTGACCGCTCATAAAATAAAGTCCATTCTAATGTCCCAAAGACAAAAAATTTCCTACCAGCTAATCCTCAACTAGAAAGCATCTCTACTCAAAGGAAGCCCTGACAGCACCTTTAATTTACACAAGCTCATAACCTTCTTCAGCAACCTTGTCTGTTTGCCTCTGTTCCACAGCACAAATCCCATTTTTCAGAAGCCCATAACCATTTCAAGCCCCATCAGTGCCATCTGTTCTCCAAAGACAATGGGTGCTCAAAATTATGATATATGCAAAGTCTTCCAAGCTGCAGGAAGTGGCTAAACACTGGCTCTGCTGTGTAATGGTTGAGAACCTGGCATAAAATATAACTGATGTCCTGTTCTCCAGATTATATTACTTCTTTAAAGTAAACAGAAAAAGGGAAAAAAAACCAACAAAACCACAAATTAGTTTGGTGATTTAGATATACAAATTTAAAATTAGATCATAATATGCTTCCTCTTACATCTTTTTTTTAAAAATTACCTTGGATTTACCATAACTGCCCACTGATACATGAAAACTCAAAATGCTTTTCATTGTGCATGAATTTTAATAAAGAATATTAACTTTTCATACAAATTTATTGCAACCATAGAGTATACATATCACATGTGTTCTTCCTGCACTTAGGAAGAATTCTTTGTTAAAACTGAAGAGCAATTCTTAGAGGAACTAAAGAAACTTTATAATAAAGAGTACCATTTACCATTTTCATACCTCTACTAAGTACTGAAAACCCACTATAATGCTCCAACAGATTTAACCACTGCATTTGTTCTATTGCACCTAAGTTGCACATCATAGTAATAACTCATTAAAATAAAATCTCTCATGTTATTGTTTACATAATTATTTTCATTTTTATCTCTGTTGGATCTTTCTGATCTCATTTACCTGGGGTTATGCTGTGCTAATTAATCCAAAATTCAGACTGTCCTAAAGGTAAACCTCAAATCTCACCCCATCTTACAAATTCTGCTTTTTCTCCTCAGAAAACTGTTGACGCCTTCCATAGAGTATCACACAGCTTAGAAAAGATGAGCCTCTTTTCATTATCTTGCAATGATCAATGCTACTGGTGCCCAAAATAGGACACTTCCTAAAAGAGACTAACACACCTCTTTGCTTTAGGTCACTTTAAACAGCAAGTGACCTAGGAGTGTTACCTAGTTCCAAAATAAATGCAGAACCTCTGCCTTCCTCAAGAGTAAGACTCACAAAATGGAGTCCCTGACACACACACTTCACTGCATTTAGCTCACAAGAATAATCTTTTAAAATTCTGCTTGTTTGAACGATTTGGTTTGGGTCTTTTTTTATGGGGGTTGTTTTTCCCCCTCTCCATTAACAGTGGATTACTCTGAGTTGGGGCTTTGATCACTGTGCATCCAATCATTCTAACCTTCCTTCATCCACCATGAAGATGCCATCGCTGGACTTAATCCCCACTTCATTGATCTCAGAGCCATTATGCCATTTTTAATTAAAACTTCTGCTTTTTTAAGTCACTGTTCACAGGGCTAAAACATGATGGTGCTAATCCAAAGCTGATAATTCTCGTTGATTTAGGAGGAGATGTCATCCTCACAGATTTTAGATCACTTATTGTAGCAAATTCCATGCACGCAAATCCCTTCAGTCCAAAAATTCAGCACAACTCATACTCCCATGTATCTGACACTCCTCTTAAGCAGAACAGCAACTGATCCATAATATGGAAAGCTGTCCAAGATCACAAGGTATAAACTGGAAAGCTAAGAAAAATGTTTCCAAATTCTGGGCTTCTAAATGCTCAGGGAAAAAAAAAAAAATTCTATTTAGAATCATCCTGCTCTAGACGCAAATGATTCTGATGTGGGTTTCAGTGTGATATTTCAGGTTCAACAAAAAATTATCCACTGTATAAAATTTATTACCTACTCATTTTGGTAAAAATTTCAGAGGATCCCCTACTAGGGATGCAGTTTATCCCACTACATTCTTTCCTCATATGGGTATCTCCCATTTGTCTTGGCCAGTTGAAAGAACTAACTCCTGAAGTCAGCTGGTTACAATCCCTTACACCCAACTGCCTCTACATACTGTACAGTCACCACATGATTCCCAAGCCAAATCCACAGCTGCACACAGGAAATTCTGAAGGGGGGAGGGGGAATCAAACGGGACAGCCCCACACCAAGTGCAGTATTGCCTGTGCAATGCCACACTGTGCATGTGGCTAGGCACAATAGCTGAAGAGTGTCCCGAGATTAAATCCTCCCAGTACACAGCCACACTGCGTGCTCACAATACTGGCTGGAATCAGCCCTTCTGGAGAGGAAGACAGGAGCCTACTGCCATAAAAAGAGCTGGGATTCTTAAACATCTGAAGCCAGGCTTAAGGGAAAATGACTGACAGGCAACAGCTGAGCGTATTCTGCATTGATCCTGTACCATCCTGACATTCCAGGGAGGGTGATGGTGAAGGAAGATTTCTGAAGGCATAAATAAACTCCAAATCTTAAAAAAAATTAAATTATTTAAAACATTTAAAAATCATTATTATCGCCCCGGTTCACCCCATCCCATCCAAAAGCCCCTGCATCTTCTAACACCAAATCCCACCACCCACCCA